TTTAGCTAGCACCCACCTTGAGCCATTCTAAGCTACACATCCAGAATGTTCAAGAGTCGCTTTCTTATGAGATTTAAATGAGGAGTGGAAGACACATGAGAGTCAGGATTCTAATATCAGCGGGAAATCAGCCTTTGCAGTCCACTCTACAATAAATATTTATATCCTGGTAACTGGAAACTTAAATGTCAAATGAGACTTTGAAGCCATTCTCTAGGAAGCAGGAGATTCCACACCCTTATTTACAAAAGTTTCGGAAAACTTGGGTGGTGTCTGTTTATCGTTGTCTTCCCTTTGGGAGACTTCAGTTTAACTCTTGGAAACCACAGCTGTGCTGAAATTGGTTCACTGAAATTATTTCTCCAACATTCTAAATTCTAGAGGGGAAAACAGTTCTACTACCTTTTCAGTCATAGTTCTTTTCCAGATCACTCAGAGAAATTTTAAACAAATAGTTTTCATTTTGTTTAAGAGACTCGTAATTACTAATCCTAATTACTGTCAATTAGTCAATCTCTTCAACTCTCTCAATCAGCATAGATCTGTTTACCTAAACCCTCATGTAAATTAGGTCAGATCCTGATGATATTAAGGCAGAGACTGGAGTTGAAATGAAGATTAGTAAAGGTTAATAATAATGACTAGAAATTACCACCCAGAGCCACACTTAAGTCACCCATCATTGGAAAACACTAGAAAAACAATACAGAAAGGCAAATACAGACGGGGCACACGTATTACCAAAGCAATTGTTTCGTCTTTTTTTTATCCCTGTTCTTAGTGTGTTGAATTAAATGACTTGGTTTATGTCTCTTTTCTCTCCACTCTACATGGTTAGGAACCTGTCTGGTCCCCTCTGCCTAGTATGGTGCTGGGCATGTAGTTGATGCTCATTAAAACACCGACAACTGGAAAAAAAAATAGTGAAAACTAAATGACTGAAAGAATAGGAAGCAAAGAGAGAAGCCAAAGGAAACCATGGCTGAGAAAAGAACAGATTCACATTTAGATGGATCTCACTATTTGCTCTAACTCTGAAAGCAATATATTCATCTTAGAATTCCCCGAGATCTGAGTTTTCAAGAAAGCATGTTGTTATTTCCCACGTGCGAAGTCACTATGTTTGATCCCCCTTAATGCTTCTGTCAGGGGCCGTGGCTGCCTTCGCAGTGGGTTATGTGAAAGTCAACTGGGACCTTCTGGGAGAGATGGCTCTGGCGATCTTCTCAGTGGTCAATGCTGGCTCCCTGTTTCTCATGCACTACACGACCGACATCTGGGCATGCTATGCTGGCTATCTGATATTCAAGTCTGGCTATATGCTCCTTATAACCATAGCAGTGTAAGTATTACCAACAGTTCCTTTCCACGCCTGAAACTAAACCGTAGTCTCTTCTCTGTAGTCTTATAGTACCTTTGAGAACTTCGGAAGGATTTTAATTGATTGCAATATTAAATGTTAACCTATTAAATTAGACACAATTAAGCCATCTTTTTATTTAACTATTTGAGTAGTCATCAAGGGAAGAAAGTTCTGTAAGTTCATAAACCAAGAGCAATGATACCTTGTGAGGTTCTGATTTTTAATTTCAAGCGATTTGCCATAACAAGGTATGGTACAATCTGATTTTGAATAATGAGGTTTAGACTTCATCCCTGATTTCACTTGGTTGCTTACATAATTTCAGGGATATACTTGTGTGTGAAAACAAAATAGTCCCAGCAGGTAATAAAAAGTTGGATGCTGAAAAAAGTAGATGTGAAGATTATGAGAAATAAATTCTGGAAATCATTTAAAAAAAAAAAAACAATTAAATTTGGTTTTGTATGTAAGTGCTAAGAAAGCTGACTATAGGAAATGTGCTTTAGTATTAATCCCAAAAGATAAGAAACATTTGAATTTAAAATCACATGAAAAAGGTAGAGACAAACGCTCTATTGAGTTTTGTTTTTTAATTTGGGGAAAATATTTAATAAGCAATCGATAATTGCAACATAAACAGAAATAGAAACACTCTGGGAAAAGATCATGAAACAAAGGAAAGAGATGAAACTTGTTTGCCAGTTTATTTTTTTCACTGAAATGTGTCAGTTTAATGAATCAAACTCATGTGTTTGAGTTTCTTTTTTTATTATTGCTTTTAATCATAAGAATATTTAGAATCCAAAGGCCTTTTACCTGTATTGCAAGGAATAACATACATTTTCTAGTCTCTCATAAGTATTTTTAATATTTCAAAATCTATATAATTATTAAAAATGAATTACAGATTCACTCAGTCGTGCAACCAGTCACAGTCTGGATCTTCCAAAGAATAATAATTCACCTACCAACTGTTGAAGCTGTCAATACAGACAATTGACAATAAAATTAACAACTCTCCAAAAAATTTCTCAGATTGGGTGTTACTTGCATTTTTATAAAAAGTTAATCTAAAAATCATATACACCCAATATTTTCAAGTTATGAGAATTTAGAACATTTAGGTTTAATTTCTGGAAGTATTAAATTAAGAGGAATTTTGCCATATTAACTATTTTAATTAAGCCTTTAACTGATTTTCAAACTCCACCCCCCACCCCACCCTTTTTTTTTGCTCTGCCTATTTGTCTATACTGGAGGAGATTTAGATAAAAAGTGCTGATAACAAGATACTGCCATCTCTTTTCTTTTTAATTTTATTTTTATTTTTCAATTACAGTTGACATAGAACGTTGTATTAGTTTCAGGTGTGCAACATAACGATTAGACATTCGTATAACTTACAAAGTGATCACCCCATAAGTCCAGAGCCCACCTGACACCATACATAGTTGTTACCATATTACTAGCTATATTCCCTACGCTATATTTTACGTCCCTGTGACTATTTTTTGTAACTGGCAATTCGTACATCTGAATCCCTTCCCTTTTTTCACCCATTCTCCCAATCCCCTTCCCATTTGGCAGATTGCTTTCTCTTTTGTTTCTGTCTTTTAAAGAGAAGAATCCCATGTACGTTGTTGAAAACGTGTTCAATGTTTAACAATAGGTTTCAGATCGCAGTTAATCTGAGCGTGGAACGATATGCCCTGGTGTTTGGCATCAACACCTTCATTGCCCTGGTGATTCAGACCCTCATAACCATCATCGTCGTAGATCAGAGAGGGCTTAACCTGCCCATCAGCATTCAGGTAAGCTGCAACACTTCTGTTTATAGTTGGTGGGGATACAGAATAACAAGGTAATGTCAAGGGTATTTTTCAACCTTGCCACTGGCAGTATTTAAATTTCTTGACGTCCTTAGCTAAGTGAATTTTTAAATAAGCAATTCCGTCATTATTCATAGTATAACACACCAAGTAGTTTCAAGCAGTAATCATGATAGGTCAGCATTTACCTGTAGCTCCTAAAATATCAGACAACACTTGTCATTGTGCCCTCATATGTTTCTCCTCTTCCTCCCACTGTTCACTTCCAAGGTGTTCTGAGGTTCATCTAGGGAGGGACATGGATGCAGAGCTCTCGTCCCTTCCCCCACTCCACCGAGGGACTTCGAATTAGCCCAACCTCACATTTTACATATGGATGTGAAAAAAAAAGGGGGGAGAAGGATATAAGGCAGATAAGAAGTAACCTCAATGTCTAACATTCATTCTTAGAGACATTACATTTAGCATTATACTATCCTCCAAATATAGACACATGGATCAGTGGGCTGTAGTATTTTTTTCACTATTGGTAATGTTAGCTAGGATCTGAACCCAAGGCTCCAGAGCCCACGCTCTTAGTTACTGCATCGTTTACACTTTTGTACCTGGTTCTTCTAAGATGGGAAAAGAAAATATAGAGCAAATCTAAATGCCCCATATTAAGCGCCTGGGTCTCAGTTACCCCATAATTCCAGCAAATCCAACAGCATCACTATGTATCATCAGTGACCTAGATGATCAGATTTGTGCGTGTCTAATGAATTCTATTTGTTTTTTCTATAGTTTTTAGTTTATGGGAGTTATTTCGCCGTCATTGCTGGAATTTTCCTTATGAGAAGCATATACATTATCTACTCAGCCAAATGCCGAAAGGAAGTGTAGAACTCTGCTATACATCAGAATCCATATGCACCACCCCAGAGGGACCAAGGAATGTCATCAAGGGAACAAACCTCTAAACTTCTTTTATGTCAACCCTTAAAGCCTGTGCTGGCCACAAAGTCACTGAGTGCCACAAATTGACACCCTTCACGAGTCTTGATTCCGATGAATCTGTTCAAAACCACAACAAAAACTGAGCTAGAGACCAGATATCTATCGATATGCCCAGCTGAGCTGGACGTTATCGATAGGACCCATCATCTCAATTAAACAACCCACATTGGGAATCCCCGTGAATAGCAGTGACTGGAAAATTCTGGTTTTGATTACCTGCAAAGACATACAAATGGCATAGAAACAAACCAGCCATCCTGAAGTTGATGTTCCCCATTTGTGAGCAGAAACACTAACTGGACTGACTCTGTTGCTTGGCTTAGATCTTTATTTTATCTTACCAAAACAGGCAACGTATAGGAAATTTTTTTGTCACATGAGCCATTTTCCTTCTTTTTCCATTAAGTATATTTCTGCATAATTTATGGTTCTCTGAGAGAATCACAAGGTTTGGTCCCATTTCTAAGGACTCCACTTCAATGTTGAAAACAGCATTATTCACAAGCTTTTATTTGATAATGATCATTTTTAATTTCGTGCTCTGCTGAGCTTTGTTGTTGAAACTCTACCTCAGGAAGAGCTCCAGACACTCCCGTGTGTCCACAGAATGACATTCATGTCAATTCCTCGTGGCCTAAGAAGAGGCAATGAGCTTTCTCCTTCCCCGGGATAGGTATTTTAATGCTGTATCATGTGAGATGTCTGTCTAAAACAGGAAACTTAGGTGGAAATTTTCAGAGGTTTCTATAAGTATTTGTAAATAAGGAAACTCTAATGGGGGCAGAGATTGTGCTAAATATAATATGTTTAAAATTTCTAATTTTTTGATGACATGTTGAAAATCGTCTGAGCTTGTCTGTCCTTTGAAACTTCAACAGAGGGAAACATGGAGCAGTCTGTCACTGGGAATAAAGGATGCTAATTCAAGATTTGCATTTCTTCGGGAGAAGAGGGGGCCGGGGACTGGACGTGGCGGGCACGTGGCAGCCACACGTGCACGTGGCAGCCACACGCACACAGCCGAGATGGCCAGGGACCCAAGGCAGGACAACCACATACCTCCCACGCCACTGCTTCCCCGCTTAACACATCTGGAACCAAAGTCTAAAGTGAGCTAGCAGCCCCCGCCCCCTCCCGCTGCCCCCATCCCGCTCAGCACTCTGGACAGAGGGACATGGGCCCTGTCCAGCCCCCAGCGCGCTCGTCCCGGTCCCCGCGGGTTGCCCCATCCAACGAGACTGCTGGAAACCACTCCAGGCCAGATGGGCGTGCGAAAGGGCTGGGTGCGGCCTGGGGCGAGCGGCTACTGGAGGACCTGGACTGTTTTTCTCACACGTAGCTGCCGCAGTGATGGGAAAGAAAGGCAGGTGTAAATGACGCATTGGTTTACCTGGTATATTTTTGATGCCTTCAGTGAATTAATTCAGGTGGTTTACGCAAGGAGGGTCTTACCCAGCATTACTGCTCCTGTGCTTTGGATGTCTGCTTACCCTTCAAGAGGCGTGTGTGGGCAGACAGTCAGTGACCGCACGGTTCCCAGGGCCGAGGAGCGGGGCCGCTGGCTCAGGAGCCCTGCGCATCCTCCCTCTCATTCTTCCTCGGTGGAATGAATTTGACGGGTGGTCTGTGATCGCCATCTGTGCACAGGTTGTTCTCATTAAAAAGCGAATTGTTAAAAAAAAAAAAAAAAGATTTGTGTTTCAAACATATTTTTCTTTAAATCCAAAAATTTAATCACTGGACTGAGAAAGAAAAAAAAAATCAGCCCCAAAGCCAACACTACTTAGTGGAGAAAACTTACATCAAAAGCAAGGAAAGGATGGCAACTATTATCCTTATTATTTAACTTACTATACTAGAGGTATCAGCCAACGCAATTAGACAAGCAAAAAAATGACAAGTCAAACACTTAAAAAAAAGAAGGCAAAACTATTACTATTCCAGAAGCTACAGATATACGCCCAAGAGACGCAGCTGAAAATGGCAACAGTATGCAGAAAGGAAGAGCTTTCATGATACAAAAACCACTTAGTAAAAGACTCCATTCATGATAGGAAAAAAATAATGCAAAAATACTATTTAATTTATTTAATAACATGATAAATGTGTAAGACATATATGAATGTGCCTGAAAGTACTTTTGAAGATGACAAAATAACACCAAAACATATGGAAAAGCCTACCTTGTTCATGGTTAGAAAGAAAACATACATAAAAAGTCAGGCTTTTTAAATAAATGTATAAGTTAAATCTTATCCCAGAGAAAAAAATACGATATGATTTTTTTTTTCAGATAGTAAGGATGATTTCAAATTTTATTTGGAAAATTAACAAAGAAGAATTTTTAAAAAATGCTTTTTTAAAGGAGAAAATGGAAATTCAGAGAAAGGGAAATCCAGAAACAACCACCCTCTCCCCCAACTCTGTTCCCTCTACTCTGCACAAAATGAGAATCCTGGGCGTCACTGTCTTTTCTATTTCCTTCATGACCGTCATTTCCCTTTCCGGTCTTTCAAAACAATTATAAGTACAAGTGACCTAATCTAAGAATACATGTGGGCTTCGAGGCCATTATATGAAACCCACAGTGCTGCCTGGCAGATGCCTAGCCGTGTGAGCTGCACCTGTGCCTGTAGACAAAAATGGTGGCCTGGAGCCAGCTGCCGACATCTTGAAGGAAATGAGTCAAGAACAGTTTGTAAGTGATGTGACAGACAAAATGAACCAGCACGTTAATAATTGCAGTAAAGGGAGGCAGATGTCTGAACTTTCATTTCAAGAGACTAAATCACTTTGGAGATCCTGGAGAGACTTTGATCAAAGAAAATGATAGGAGGAAAGAAATACAAACAACTCTGGAGGTGAGAATTAAAGTAAAATGTCATAGAGGAACAAGGCAAGTGGACTCTTAAAAATTCGACCCCAGTAGATGTTCCAGGAAGAACATAGTGACTTTGGAAAAGACCCATGGTGTGAGACTAAAATATGAAGCTAGTGAAATAGTAGGCACGTTAGGGGTCTCCTGGTCACTAACAAAATTAGGTGCTGATAAAGCCCTACACTTAGCTCCTCCCAGTCTGGTAGAAAAGCAGCGATGTCTTCCTAATACAGGGAGGAGTCCGTTTTCTCCCGACGCAAAAGTGAGTTTCATTGATCCGTGGTAATGGAACTTTGACCTGGTCCTTCCCACCTGCTGAAGGTGATGACATGTCACAGCACGACTCGTTGCTCAGTCACGATTTGTGGCACGTGTTGTCCTCTCTGTCCTAGAGACAGGCATTTCGAGATCATGGCTGATTGGAGCAGAGGACAGAGCTCCACGCTCGCCTGGCTAGTTCCTCTGTTTGCTGGCCAACGCTCCCTCTGCTCCAAGTCTCCTCTCCTCTCGCTTTCAAGACCACAAAGGTAAGCCCAGACCAGCTTGGCTCACCTGCTGGGAGAAGCAGCTGATGAAAGACATCCTTCCGTGTTTTGCGTCAGACATTGATTTCACCAAATGTGAAACCTCTCTTGTTTGATCATAACAGGGGGAAACAAAGTATGGAAAAGTGTTTATTCCAGAGGAAAGAAACGTTTGTTTGTTTGTTTGTTTGTTTCATAGCAGAACAGCGAGGGCAATAGCAAAATAGTAATTCACATGGAATTCTCATTTCTATCCCTCATGGGTCTGTGAAGCAGTAAGTCCTTCACATGAGTCAAGCAATAATTAAAATGTCGCTGACTTTTATAATTTGCCTCTGGTTGGGGAGGGGCAGCAACATTCGCTCAAAATGTTATGCTATTCGGTGTAACAATGAAGGCAAAGCATTTTGAAGCAACCTCCAAACTCTGTGAGTGACAGCAGCAGGCTGAGACAGGGGGTCCTGGAGGAAGGGGAAAGAAGGGGCTCTCCCAGGCCTCCCAGTAGGGCTGCCTCTCGGCGCCGTCTCGCTTCCCCTTCCATCTGAACTGTCCATTTAGGCAACTTTACAGATGGGAATTAAGTGTCTATCACCCAAAGCCTGACAACTGGTAGAGGTCACTAGCAGTAAATAGTACAGAATCACATTGGCCTAAGGAACAGCCTTTGGGGGTGTAGACTCTTCAGAGAGTTTCTGTAAATGTCCATCGAACTAATTGCAAGAAAGAATGCTCTATTTATGATCAGTTGGGGTAACACATGACCATTTAAGGACACGCATCATTTTTGATGGCAATCTTCAGTCATACGCCATACAGATTCAACGTTTGTGGGTAGCCGGCAAGGACAAAGGAAGTAAATAAGACCACAGAACAATGTGTGAGGAATGACAGAAGGGACTGAGACTATCACGTCCCAGCCGAGCAGGTAGGAGAAGAATCCAGGATTTACATGTGTCCAGAACTGGATTCTAAACCGTATGACCCAGGACAGGCCACACCGTCTCTTCTTGAATGTCTGCTTTCTCATCTACCGGATGGAGACAATATCTACTTTGCAAACTTTTCAAAGAATCAGAAACAAGGCATGGAAATCACATAGTATAGCTGTCTGCCCAAGGAGGAATTGGGTTAAAAATGGCAGCTAGCTACCAGCAGTGTGTATTTTAACGTGCTAATTGATACTATGTGTTAGGAAGAATTGACTTAATTCTGGTGGAGAATTGCATACTTGGAGTGGATGTAAACTGAGCACTCAGAAAGTCAGGTAATGCAGGCAGACAGGGGCAGCCAGAAATGAGTGAGGTTGCTAGAGGTCATATTTATAGGTGGTTACTAAAATGAAAAAGGTATTAGAAGAAGATGTATTTTATTACCTACTTTCAGGGCATATAGAGGTAATAAAAATCTCTTGTAGGCTGAAAATTTTCAGATATGTGTGTACATATTTGCTTTAACGATCCCACTTTGTGTAGTATGCAGACCTGTCACTCAAGTGGTCCCTTTTTGGAAAAGCAATCTGGGCAGGGGACCAGAGTGGCCCCCAGCTTGGGGGTAGAGGGCGAGCAAGGGCACAGCAGGATGTCCATGAAGGATGGGAGAAAGCCCTAGGTAATAAGTCTCACCTCCTCCCTTCATGAATGGCCGCTGTGGCATAGACATCGGGGAGTTGCCTCTGGAAGACCTGAGTCAGGGGAGAGCATGAAATGCAGTTCTCCTCAGTCCACTGCGTCTAGCCGTGACCACTCCATCAGTAACACCAGTGCAGCTTAAACGTGCAGATTCTTGGGCTTCAGATGTGAGACAATCAACCAGAAGGTACAGAGATGAGGCCAGGACATTTGTATTTTTACAATGTTTCTTAAGTGACTATGATGCTAAAAGCTATTCATCGTAGTCTTGGTGATTGGCCTGCATGAGAGAGGAGCAAAGGGTGAGGCAGGCACGTAAGTGAATCAATTGGGACGGTGACCCAGACATTGGAATAAAGGTGGAGGTGGTGGCACGTTTGAGAGGCAGGGTTTCAGGCCCAGAAGCCTCTCCAGCAGCTCTCACAGCTGAGATTGAAGGTCAAAGACAATAAGGATGCTTCTTACCAAGAAGTCCTCTGATGATTGTTGAGAAACTCAGGTCTTCCCTGTAAGCCCAGGATCTCGCCTCTCTGCCCATCCTTCTAAGAATAAAGGTCTGTGGCTCGGTTCTGAGTAAATGGCCTTCCTGTCATTTCCCCCTGGCAGTAACAGATACTGTGCTCGGTTCTTTACATGCACAGAGCTCACTTAATCTTCATAGCATTCCTATGTAGCCTGCATAATGATTGCTGTTCTATAAAATGAGACATTTGGGGCTCAGTAGATTTTTCCATTCATTTGAAAAATATTTGTTAAGCCCATACTCTACCAGACTCTTTTCTAGGCACTGGGGATGTTACTTGCAAACAACGAGAGACTCTATCCTTAATGTCATGCAGCTTACAGCCTAATGGAGAGCTCAGTTATTAATTTAATAGGCACAATAATGACCATAAAATCGCCCACTGAAAAACATGCCCTGTAAGAAGACTTGTCTATGAGAGACATGACGAAGGAATCTGATCTTGACTAGGGAGTTAAGGAAAACATCTCTAGGGAAGCTGGGAGCTGAAGGATGAACAGTAAACAACTGGGGTAAAGGGCGAGGGGGACTGTGCGATCAGATGGAACAGCTTGTGCAAAGGTCCTGTGGCAGAAGGAAGACAGTGTGCTCGAGGCCCTGAAAGATGATCAGTGTGGCAAAAATCCAACATGGGAGAAAAGAGTAAGCGGCTCAAGGTCATACTGTGTGTGTGGGTGCGGGGTGGGGATGGAACATGGCGAGGAGATTGAGAACCTATTAAAGGATTTTTAAGCAAAAAATTTTAATTATTTTTGCGTGTGAAAAAGATTATGCTGGCTACAGAATGAGAAGGAGGGCCAGAGAACTTGTGGAAAAAAGTTAGCTGGCATTTATCCAGACTAAAGACAATGGTGCTAATAACACTAAGATATTGGAAGTAAAAATAGAAAGGAGAACCTGAGAATTATTGAAGGTAAACTTGATAGAATGTGGGGATAAATTGAATATAATTACAGGAGAGGGAATTTCTCGATTTCTGGTGGTACCATAATCTTGATAGAGAACAATGAAAAGGGACTATGCTTGTGAGAAGATCACAGGCTAAGTTTGAATGTGTGGCATTTGAAATCCCCTTGAGCCGTTCAAGTGGAGATGTCAAGTGGGCATTAGACCTACAGGTCAGTGATGACAGACGAAGAGAGATCAGGAGGTCAGTAGATATCAGTAACTCGACCACTAGAAAGTGACCTAGTTAAATGAGTTTCAAAGAAATTAACATTGTCATTTTCTCCCAAGGGGTTGAGAATAATTGTCTCGAGCATCGATGAGAAGCGGGGAAAATATCAACGACCACTCGTAAATGCCAGAGATCATAGCTAGAAAATGATGAAGCTGCTATTTGAACTTAAGGACCTGAAAAATCCTAGCAGCATATTGTCCTCTTTATCAGTTAGGGGGATTAACTTTCATCTCCCTGCCCCTCAAAATCATCTTCCTCCATATTCTTGCCTGATCCTGGCACCTTTTCCTATCCATCTGCTCCTCTCTCCAAGGAGGCTGAGGTCCTCTTCCATCCTCTCCCCTCAGGTGGGAGATTATGTTTTTTCTATTAGGTTTATTTTTTATTTTCTCAAGCCAAATTCACGGGGGCAGGAGTACTAAAGCAGGTCAAAGTGAGAAAAGGCAGAGGAATTTCAATATCTCTAGGACAGCCGAAGTAGCGGGGAGGAGGAGGAGGGTTCCATAAAAGGCATGGAGAATAAAAGACAAAAAAAAGTTCTACCTTGGAGGTGAGCAAAAATCCATGGTCAGACTAGACATGGGGGATGGAAGAAGAGAGTAGGCTGCCAGGAGAAAATGTACTTGACCCCGGGTCAGGCTCCTCGGGGACTTGGGAGGTAGCTGTTTTATCAGTCACTTATGCAAAGAAAGACTTAGAAAACCTGGAAGCGCCCTGCATAGGAGAGCCGCCCCCTACTTCCTGGGAAGCAGAGATAGATGGAAAACAGTCACCCCCAACTTAACCACTGGCGATTTTCTTTCATTGTTATCATTGCTCTTGACGTGTACTTCGGTTTCCAACTGTCATTGCCACTACTGTTTAAGTGAGAGCTTTGTTGATCTAGGTGAGATCAGTATTTGCTTTACCTCAAGGAAGAGGACCACCCACCTAAATGGTCTCCAGATAAGGCCCACCTTGTGAAAGGTAGAGTGGGTGGCAAGCAACAAGGGGTAATCTGGAAGGTCCTCCCTCCTAACATCCTGGCCCCATTCAAAGCCAAGTTTGCTCACTCTTTGCTGGGGAGCATCACCTTTCGCGGTGAGCATTATCTCTAACCTCCTTTCAAAGTGAAATTACCAGAGAACTAATGGATTGTTACTAGCAAGGTAAGTGTAAATGTGTTTATAGAAACACTTTCATCTCTCACTGTGAACAGGGTCGCTCCAGTTGAGAATACCTGGAAGCCAGGAATTTAACACATCAATTCTTTAATACATTGCATTTCTTTGCAGGCTTTTTTTTATATCTAAGACCACACGCATGTGCGCACACACACACACACACACACACAAAGCCTTCCACTCCCCACTCCCATAACGTCATGGTCAGTAGAGGATGTGGGGTCTTGTGCTTCCAGAAAAGATAAAACCCTGAGAGACTCAGCAAGGGAGGGTTCACTCAGAAGATCAACCTTATCATAAGGTCCCTAACGTAGAAAACATCTTTGAAAGGCCCTCTGCTTCCTTATCTGCTGGCAACTCAATACCATCCCCCCGCCCCCCAACCCCTCCACCCCACCGCAAGTCCTCCCTCCTGCAGGAAGAAGCCTGAGATGACATTTGCCTGAATTCGTTGCCCTGTATGGATATGGGGCAGTCTGCCCACTGGAGGCACTCCTGTGAGATTTGGAGATGAAAAATTAAAAAGTGGCCTGTATTCCGCAAGGCAGTTATCTTCATCACGGTCAAATCTGGTGTAGAATTCCTTTTCAGTGAGGCCTTTAGATAAATATAAATGCCCATCACCTTAGTAACATTTAAATGAAAACTTCTTGAAGCCCATAAAAATATTCTCTAATATAACCGGAGTATGTAAAAATAAAATACCATTAATTTAAACAATTACTGGAAAGGGTCAGATATTGTACCCTTAAACCCAGCAATGTAAGTGGAAATGTTTCTATAAATTCATATAGTGTTCAGAATATCTGGGCCCTGTTAGAACTATTTCATAAAACACACTAGTTTTTACCATTTTCACACACTTAACTTGCAACTGATTTTGATTCTGTTTCTCTGGAGAACCCTCACTGGCACAATAATCGGTCTTATATTTTATACTTTGATAGCATTATTTAATTTATCCAAAAATGTTCATTGAGTTCATTTATCCAAAAAAATGTTAATTTCTAATTAAAAATATAGCAGACACCAACATGGATATAAAAATCTTTTCTTTTATGACACTTTTTTTAGAAGGAAGAATTAGACAAAAACCAATTAAGCATATTAATGCATAACCAGTGGTGACAAAGCAAAGTAAAGAAATAGAGGATGATGGGAAGAAGGTCATTTTGGACAGGGCGGTCTAAGAAGTCCTCTCTGAAAGAGGACATTAGAGCACAATATATATGCAATGATGGGGCATGGCCCGCAGGTGGCTGGAGGAAGAGTATCCAACCATGGGAGAGGAAGACCCAGGCCCCGAAGAGTGATTTGACTCACCTGGGTATTGTCAAAATAAATTTACAAGTGCAGTAATAACTAAGCTGTAAAGAAATGTACAATTTTTTACTTGAAAACTACAATTCACTTAGAAAATCCGGTCATCTAAAAGGGTAAGGCATCACTTTATCATTTCTATATTTCACAGAACATTACATTTTTTAAAAAATTAACATTTGGTCTTTTATGAGAACACCTAAGTTTTTAAATAACCACCATACGAGGTGTAACCAACATTCATTACCTTGCTAAAGATATTTATGGGTAGCTATGAAAACAAACTGGGAAATTTCATTCCATGTGTAAATAAAGATTCATCTGTTCCATTTGTACTTAATAATAATAAAAGTATAGATACACGGAAATCCAAGCTAAAGTAATTAAAGAAAAAATTTTAACACGAAATGCATCACACATTTGGTCCAAATTATCAGAAATTCAAATTAGGGGTATCAGAATCTATATCAGTTTCCTGGGGTGGCAGTAACAAAATACCACCAAGCTGGGATAAAACATCAGAAATTTATTGTCTCACAGGTCTGAAGGTTAGCAGTCCAAAACTGAGGTGTCAGTGGGACCATTCTGCCTCTGAAACCTATAAAGGAAGATCTTCCTACGCCTCTGTTAGATTCCGCGAGGAACACTTGGCGTTCCTTGGTTTGTAGACGCATTACTCCAATCTCTGCCTTTGTTGTCACATGGCCACCTTTTTGCTGTGCTTCTTCGTATCTGTGTCTCTTCTCTTTATACTAAGTATCTCACTTATATTGGATTAAAGGCCCACCCTGCTCCAGCGTGACTTCGTCTTAATTAATTTTATCTACCAACCTTATTTCCAAATAAGTCTCATTTTGAGGTCCTGGGAGTTAGGACTTTAACATATTTGGCGGGGGAGAGACATAATTCAACCCACAATACTCCACCTTCCAGCCCCAAAATTTGTCTTCCCACATGCAAAATATATTTACTCCATTTCCAACATTTCCAAATATCTTACCTATTCCAGAATCAGCTCTTTTAATCAGTGGGACTCAAAGAGGCTAAGGAATTTGAGTAAGGTCAGCTAAGTATGGTTAAGTACAAGAGGGAAAAAAAATGCCGATGGCCCACCTCATAATAATAGTGGGAAGAATATTAAAAGCCCACCCACCCCAGGCAGTGCTCCAGGTCTGACAACAGCCAGGGCCCCAGGCTGCAGGCCCCCGGGGCCGGAACCACGCTGGGACAGACCAATATTCTGAAACAGAAGCCCACCACTTTCGACCCCACCCCCCACCCCCCAGCTAGAAATGTGCATTTTGCCATAATTAGGAGCAAGGGAGAGCATTTGCTTGGTAACATTTTAACTGATTTTCCAATAACCTTTGAAATAGCAAGTCAAAAAAGTAACTAAAAAGTCCCATCTTTCTGAAATATTAAAAATTATGCCACTGGGATAACTTGGGGTTGTAAATTCAGTATTTGCCTTTTTTTTTTTTTTACAGTTCTAGCTCCACCTTTCAATACTGAATTACGATGAGTTAGCACATAGAGAATAAAGAGAAAATTGCTTTGGAATTAGCAAAAGAGCTCTAAGAAGGCATGTCTTCATCTTTCATGTTGAGTTCTTGACTCCCTCCAATTCCAGCAGGCCACATAATCAAGGGATCTTGTACTCCTCTGTTTTCAAACTTCTTCCTAAGGAGCCATTAGTTTTCTAGAAGCGACAAGGAAAGCCAATCCGCCTGGAAGAGCTGTGCAGGCAGCACACTAGCAGATAATATAAGCACACCATGTTTCTGCAATAAATAAAGACACCAGCAGGGGGCGAACTTGGAACCTAACTGGAATAGAGCTGTCGACTTTCAAGTGGACTGGGTGCAGCCGGTTCTTAACGCGACTCTTTCCGGTGGTGGCGATGGATTCCATAATCTAGTTAAACCTACCAATCTAGTCCTTTTGAGTTCAAGATTCTGCTTTTACAAACTAGCTGCCAACATTAGGGGGGAATCGGAGGTTATTTCCGACACAAAAAACCTGAATCCATGCTGTCTTTGGAACCAAAGTGCCTGGTCTCAGAAATGCTGAGTGACTCTTCATCCTCACCAGTACCTGGGGCATCGATTCAGGAGGAGGACTTAGGGTTTTCTTGCTACACCCTCTGTTAGAAACTGTTTCGACTCTGCATTTTATCATTAGAATCCTAAGAATTATCACTCTATGAAACTTTCACAAACTGAAATGGATCCAACAGTGAGAATTTTTGAATTTTTATAAAGTACACAGGGGATTCTTTCTGAGGAATAGAAATCTGTCCTGGTTTTTTCTTTTAACGGCCAGCAAGATTCATCCTGCTGTGAACAGCAATCTCACTTGCTGAAACTCACTCAAACCCCAATTGTCCCAGGTTCTAGAACCCTCCTGTGGCTTCAGCATTCCTCACTCCAACAGAAACCAGAGCAGCGGCAGCGAATGCCAACATTTCCCCGATTCGTTGCCCTGGAAGCTGGTTGTGGATTCCCGGGTTAGAAGCGAGAAGCTAACCCATGTTAAGCACCTGCAGCAATGATGGCATCCTGCCAGGATGTTTCCATCACTTTGTGATGAGCATTATTAATGTGCCTGTGCAAGTGAGGGAAATTGAGGTCCCAGCACATTAAGAAATGTGTCCGGAGTCACATGACTTGAAAGGGATTCGAAATCTGAATTTGCTTGACTACAAAGTTCACGTTCTTCTCACCAGGAAATCCTTGTTTATTGTTCCCAAACTACCTCCTACGTGAGGTAAATATTATCATACCTGTCTTACAGATGATAAATCTGATTTGCCAGAGGGGTCCGGTAGCTTGCCCAAGGTCACATGCTTATAAGTAGCAAAGAAAAATTTGTAGCCGATTGACTGCCCTTGACTGTCATGCCATAATGTCTTGCCAGGGCTGTAAGAAGCAAGAGGGCCAGGAAGCTTCCGGGAAGAAGCTTCTCTAACTGAGTAAGTGAGATTTTTCCAGAAGCTGTTGATTGCCTTTCTAAAGGGTGTCTTTGGCTTCCCTTTAGTCAGCCAGCCTGAAAGTTTATCATCCTGAACATAAGTTCTCATATTAGCAACATAAATGGGAAAAAATAAGAATGAAATCGAAGTTAAATATCAACTCAGAAAAAGACTTCCAAGTGTTGTGCTTTAATTTCATCTATGATGTGATATCGTCTAGATGTCATGTAATTCTTCTTCTGAAAATAGGTATTAAAAACAAACCACCTGGGTAGATGACAGTTCAAATTAATTGAGGCTTTTTATGTTCAATCAATGTTCACTTTGATTTTGATCATTTGAAAAAGCAAGGGGTTTATCTGCTTTATAAATCTTTACTCTCCAAAAGCTATTTTATTCACCATTATAAAATACTCATTGAAATGCATTTCCAGTTCATCAATAGGTAATTAACACATAACAATACCTACATGTTAATAGGTTTAGGATGGGGGCGGGGGTGAAGCAAATGTTTGCTTAGCAATTGTGTCTTCGAAACTTATTTAAATTCCACCAATCTTATCTTCTGCCCAAGATTTATGCTGTAGGTGAGACTCCCTGATATTTTTCTACTCTAAAAGACTAATGGTGAACGTGACTGACTTACCTAAGCAATGCTCAAGAGGACTTTCTCTTCAGTGACCCCACCATTTCACCCAAGATGAGACTTAACCCCTACTATGGTGTTTTTAAGTAATCACTGATTTTTTCTTCCACCAAAAATCCTAAAAGAAGACTCTTTTACCCGAGATATATTTTCACAATCATTTTTTTCCCCATTTTTAGACTGAAGGACAGAAGGAACAAGAGGAAGAGAATGCAAGTTTTAGAAAAAGAAATCAGTGGGATTGATGAGCCGTCTTCTTACACACTTTCTTTCTTTCTTTTTTTTTTTCTTTCCTGCAACAGTTGAACCACCCATAAATTATTGTAGGACTTCACCCAGCCATTGCTGGGTTTTCCCCACAGTAATCCTCTGCTTCTTTGGATTTTTCTCAATGATGAAACCATCAGAGCCATTTATCGCACCTTATCTAACAGGACCAGATAAAAATATAAGTCTCAGTGTGGTAAGTTAACTAACATGCTTAACTCAGACTTAAGTCTTTTTAGAACCAACGCCTGAAGTGCCGAGTAGGGCAAACTATCGACACTTCTTACAATCTCAAATACGAGCAAGTGGACCTTGATGATTTTCATGTATTCATCATATAAAAAGGTAAACTCTTTGCCGCAACAAAAGTGACGTGGATGAAACACAACCTTACTTTATATAATCGTTCAATTGTACAAAAATAATACTCTAAGACTGTATTGCTTATGATTATGAACCTGAAATAAAGTCGTCTCTGGTTACGAATACAAATCTGAAAGGATACTATGAGTCGCAGAAGGAAAAGTTACTGAAAAAGCATGTGGAAAATCCTCTGAAGATTTCCCCCTCTTTGTTCATAAATATTAAGGCTGTTTTTAACTTTCAGTCAGGTCGAAGAGTCTAACCCTATGAAGCCTGCTAGTCGATGGTTTTCAAGGTGTGCTTCGTGGACCGGGGTGTGGACACCACCTGGGAACTTGTCAGAAATGTAAATTCTCAGGCTTCATTCAAATTGATTGATTGATTGATTTTCCAACTTTACATTTTTAAAATTTTTCTATGAGATTTGACATTCAAGATTCTATTAATTTCAGGTGTCCAGCATAGTGGTTAAACATGTATATAATTTATAAAGTGATCTCCCCTTTTAGTCAAGCACCCACCTGGCACAAGACATAGTTATTACAGTAATACTGACTATATTCCCTAGGCTATACTTTACATCCCCATGACTACCAATCTGTAACTACCAATCTGTACTTCTTAATTCGTAACTACCAATCTGTACTTCTTAATCCCTTCACATTTTCATCCAGCTCCCGCAACTACCCCTCCCATCCGGCACTCACCAGTTTGTTCTCTTTGTGTCTTTGAGTCTGTTTATGTTTTGTTTGTTCATTTATTTTGTTCCTTAGATTCCACATATAAGTAAAATCATACGGTGTTTGTCTTTGTCTGACTTATTTCACTTAGCATAATACCTTCCATGTCTTTCCATGTTGTTGCAAACGGTAACATTTTATTTTTTTATGGCCGAGTAAAATTCCATTGTATATATGTACCACCTCGTCTTTATCCAGTCGTCTATTGATGGGCACTTAGGTTGCTCAGATCCATTTGATTTAAATGTCTATTTTTCGACCAGCCTTCCGGATGAATCTGGTATTTGCCTGTTCGCCCAGATGGTATCTCGATGGTCTGCACTTTGACCTACTCATGTGGATCAAAGGTGACGATGGTCAAGCTCTTCTGGTCCTAGACATCCTTTTTAGCCTTACGGTTCTGACTTTGAAGAAGAGTAGCCTATTTTACTAAGGGCTCGCGGGCAATGGTCGCTAAGCAGCCCTGATTTGCCCCGGACATGCTGTTAATTGTGGAAGCTGACTGTGCGTTATGGCCCTTTTCCCAGCCTCAATCGCTTATGCAGATCAAATGACAACTTAAAGATGCAAGAAGCAGAGAACTGAGAGCAATAGCCGAATTTTCCTTATACTCGGGAGAATGAATCCACATCGGTCACCTCTGCAGTTTGTTTCCTTGAATTTTGGCTCCTCATCGCTTTCATTGTCTTATCAGAAATCCATGTGAAGTCTCAAACAGTGCCAACTTTGGAACGAGCCCAACGACGTGTCCAGGGATTGACACCTGTCGCCTGGATAATGTATATGTCAGAAACCGGGGGTACCTTTCACTTCCTGGTGTTTTTGTCCTCACACTGTCCCCGTTTAATGTTGCAGCTCACAAACGACACCTTTCCAGTGTGGACATACTCTTACCTGGTGCTGCTGCTCCCCGTCTTTATCCTCACCGACTATGTCTGCTACGAGCCAGTCATCGTCTTAGAAGCGATCAGCTTCATCATTACCTCGCTGCTGCTCCTGTTTGGCCAAGGAGTGAGAACCACGCAGGTTGTGGAATTCTTCTACGGTTTGGCCTTCGTCACCGAGGTGGCCTACTCCGCCTACTTATACAGCGTGGTCAGCCCCGAGCACTATTAAGAAGTAAGCGGCTACTGCAGGGGCATCACGCTGGTGGCCCGCACGATGGCCTCAGTGCTGGCCCAGCTCTTGGTGTCGCTGGCCAAAATATCGTACTTTTACCTCAATGTCATATCCCTGGTCTCTGTCTCCATGGCCTTCCTTTTCTCACTTTGTCTACCGATGCCCAAGAAAAGCATGTTTTTTCACGCAAAACCCAGCAAAGAAGTACAGAAGCCATCGAGCACGGAAGCAGTGATAGAGGAACCTCATGAGGGCAGAACATCAGGCTGTGACGAGGAGAAGCCCACTTCAGAGACACTCACCACTTTGGGGAAGCTGGATGATGGCCAGTGGAGTGGCCCGAAGCCAGAAAATGTGGCTTTGAGAGTTTTCATGCAGTGGTTCCAAGACCTGAAAGAGTGCTACTCCTCAAAGCGTCTTTTTTACTGGTCCCTGTGGTGGGCTCTTTCCACAGCAGGTTATAACCAGGTTTTGAGCAATGTTCAAACCCTGTGGGAATACAAGGCACCATCCCAGAGTTCCCCAATAGACAACGGAGCAGTAGAAGCCCTTGCGACGTTTGGGGGTAAATATACACGGTTTTATCCTATGATAAAACCAGAAAATGTATTCTCTCGATCGTGTTTTGGGATGACGATTTCAATGACAAATGCTTTGAAAAGAAAAAGAGCTTTTGTCACAAAATTTAAAAGCAGCAATGAATATAATAGAAAGTTGATATAGCTTTACCTGGAAAATAAAGTCTCACCCATCCCTGAGAACGTGAACTGCAAATTGGTGCCCCAGGGGCCAAACCTGGTTAAACAGTGAAAACTTTTTACTCTCTCTAGGCTCTCAGTAACTCTAGCCTTCAAACCGTGGTTTGCAAACCATTAATATGTATGTGGGCCAACGATGGCCCATGGGCTATCACAGCTAGTGGTTTTTACATTTTTAAGAGATTGTATAGGGGAAAAAATATATATATATGATAAGGGTTGTAAAATATTAAATCCAGCCAAACAACCTAACAAAAACAAGCAAAGAATATGTGACTCACGAGGTTAAAATATTAACTGTCTGGCCCTTTACAGAATATAGATCTTGAAATCAATGTAGTAGATTTCTGACTGATGTTTAAATTAAAGAATAGAACAGAATAAAGAGTGTATCCGCTTATAAAGATAAGTTCTGTTTTGTGAAAATTCTGTTTACACGCACATATATATGTACTGACTGACCTACAGAATATGTTTATTTCTCAGGCTATATTTAAAGAAGTTTGAAAGCTACTGTTCTAGGAGCTATCTTATTATTTCAAGAATCCCAATGGCAATAACTTAAAGATTTGCTTCTTTCCTGAACTATACATGTGGAGATTTGCCAAAGTTTGTTGCCTTCTGATTAAATTTTTCACACCCAGCTTCTCCATCCCTGACTACAACCAAATGTCTACTAGAATAATGCTAAATTCCAACCGGATTCTTGTATCCTTCCGTTCTCTCTCCTCTCCACAGCTAAGTAATTGTATTATACTGTATAATTTTTTCTCTGGCCTTTCATGCATATCACACTTTCATGTAATTGTCATTAGTAAGAACCAGGGACACAGTAGCCCTTAACAAATAGTAAGCCTTGGTTTCAGTGAAAATGGCAGCAGATGACAGAGCATTACCCAAAGGCGAAGGGCGAGGTGTGACAAGGTGGGAGAGGCAGGCCCTTTAAAAGGACCTGTGTGTGTACCTAGGTATTTATTGCTTTTCCTTGAGTTGGCTGATAAGTGTCTGTTTCTTCCTATTTGCCTACAGATGGATTCTGATAGTGTGTTTTGTCCAGTAGGAAAGAGGCAAGGAGACTGAGCAATCCAGAGAAGCCTCATCTCTGGGGGATGGATGATTCCCAGCTGCCGCTGCTAGATTCCACCCATCAGGCCCTCCTGGGCTTTCTGTTTTGGCAACACCTCCCTCCCCGCTGAGCAGCGACAGTAGTTTGGGGGGCTTTCAGATACTTGTCCATGCCCTCCTCCTTTTCCCCGGAACACGTCTCGTGATATTTGAAGCACTTTTCCAAAGGGAGTGAGGTGCTAAGGGGGAGGGAAGGGGGCTGGTGCAAGAGTTAATGCTCTGGAATTGAAGGCCAGAGCCCATAGCCTGGAGCCCACAGCCCACAGTCCGGAGCCTGGAGTCCGGAGCCTGGAGCCTGGAGCCTGGAGCCCACAGCCCGGAGCCCGGAGCCTGGAGCCGTCTTTGAAGTGAACCCAACAATGCTCCGACATAACAGAGCTTCCACATCAAATATGACTTTGAAGATATTTATTTGTGAAGCTGGGGTGTTCCAAACCCACATGTTTATTGAACCTTCTGGGGTCTATTGTTGAGCTAATATTCCTCTCACGTGCTTTCTGAAAATTCCAGTTTGACTCCGAGAAAACTATTCTAGGATTTGGTTCACCTTATACTCATTATTTCCTCTGTAAGAACTTGCTCCTGGGGAGAAGGGATAAAGTTTTCTTCTCTTCAGATAATGTGCCCTTACTTAGGGCATGTGTAGAAAAGGTAAACTTTTCATAAAAGTCGTTCTTTAAAAGCTCTTTAAACACAAATAGTCCCTAGCCTCCTTGGGATAGCAAGGTCCCCAATTAGTGTCAGATTTTTTGGCAAAACCAGGTGACGCAGGATTGACCTAAGGCCTCACGTATATTAAACCATGCCATTAGGGAAGAAAGCTGAGGGTACTAAGAAACCTGATAATTAACTACCTAGTTCACAGCACATTGTAGGAACACATTATAAGGACATCCAAGTAATGCGCGTTATGAAACAAATTTCTCTCAGGGAGGTGTCTTATGGCTGCACATGCTCTCAAGCACTTGGTTTGTTGGGTCAGGCAGAGTTTCTCATCCTCAGCAAAACTGACATTTTGGGCAGGGTAATTCTGCTGACGGGGGGCTGTTCTGTGTATTGTAGGATGTTCAGTAGCATTACTGGCCTCTAATCCACTAGATCCCATGAGCACACCCCTCCTCCACCAGCCATGACAGCCAAAGATGTCTGTAAATAGAGCCACTGGGTTAGAGTTAGGTTAGATTTGTATTAAGGTCAGAGCTTTTACAATCCTTATTGCACTCCATTAAAACTATAAGTTTATTTTTCAAATTTCCCTACCAGGTTGTATTATTTTCGAGAATGAGGAGTCAACGTTTACCACCATATTTTCCCACAGAGAAGCTCAAAAGTGCTTGATGCATGAATCACAGAAGGAAGGAAGGAAGGAAGGAAGGAAGGAAGGAAGAAAGGCAGGCAGGAAGGAGTACCTATTAAAAACAGTGTATCCAAATAAACAGGCAAACATAACTCAGAAGCAAGCAAGCAAGGAAGGAAGGAAGGAAAGAAGGAAAGAAGGAAGGAAGGAAGGAAGGAAGGAAGGAAGGAAGGAAGGAAGGAAGGAAGGAAGGAAGGAAGGAAGGAAGGAAAGGAGGGAGGGAGGGAGAGAAGGAGGGAGGGAGGGAGGGGCAAAGAGAGGCCATTCTTGCTCAAGCATCAGTCACGTGGCATGGAGAGAGTGTGGGAGAAAAGGCTGGCATTCAAGTTGAAGAACTGGCACTTCACTTCATCGCTGAGGGATCTCAGTTGCCCATTTCTTGCCTTCTGTATTGTCTTGATCAAACATTAATCAGCTCCTCTCTTTCCAACAGGCCCCTACACTCTGCTTGCCCCAACCCTGAGCAAATACACACAGAGAAAAAATTATTCATGTAGACCATGCCCCGACTGATCAGCTTCTCCTGGGAATTAGCTGACCACAGCAGGACACTCTCCTGCCTGATTCCATTGGTCATCTCCCCTTGTTTGTCCAGCTGCCCCTCCAAAGTTCCTACTCATCTCTACTTGTTCTATAGCAAAGGATTATCCTATAAAAGAAAACCCTTTTACTGTTTGATTTTAAGACACTTGCAGATTTCAGTGATGGGAGCGTTCTCTCCATTGCAATAGTCTTTCTTATTTAAAAAAAAAAAAAATCCTCTTTCTGAGCCGGAGTTTTATCTTCTGCAAAGGGAAGAGGAGAGAAAAATGGCCTCTCTGAGTGCTTTCCAGTCTATGATTTATGGAAACCCCATCTCAGTGGGTCTATTTCAAACTTTAAGAAAACAAGATATGTACAATTCACAGAGCTGGAGCAAGTGATTTTTTCATTCAATTAAAGGTCACAGTAAATCGATACCTTTCTCCATAGCCTAGAAGTGTCTCAGAGGTTACACAGGTGGATTTGAACACACAGTGTGCTACACCATCATGCACAGAATAGCACAATGTCATACACTTCGATTCCTTTGTTGTCAGGCGCTCTGGCAGCGTTCACCGTGGTCCACGTGAAAGTCAACTGGGACCTTCTGGGGTAGCTGGCCCTGGGCATCTTCTCGGTGGCCGATGCAGGTTCCCTATTTATCATGCATTTCACAACTAATATTTGGGTGTGCTATGCCGGTCTTTTGACAGTCAAGTCAAGTTACATGCTTCTCATAACCATAGCAGTGTAAGTATTTATTGTTCCTTCTTAAACTATCTAAATCTGAAACAACAATAATGTTTCTCTATTTATTCTTTCAGTTCTTCTGAAGAGCATTTTGCAGTATTATATTTAATGATTTATATAAGAGGCAAAGGAACTATATCCTGATTTTGACCAACCTTCTCTTGGGAATTGACTAAGATTATTAATCAAGCAAAAACATTCAAAGACCTCAAAATTAATGAACAGTGATATACTTTTAGGTTTTTATTTGGGGGGATCTTTTATATTTTATTTATTTAACAGAACAATTTTATGGATTTTTTTTCTGTCCTAGGCTTATTTGTATTGTGGTAAGAACACGTAACACGAAATCTGCCCTTTTAACTGTACAATGCAAGTACACTCTTATCTAGAGGGACAACATTGTACATCAAATCTCTAGAACTTAATTATCTTGCATAACTGAAATTTTATACACATCTATCAGCAAGTCCTCATTTTCTCCTCCAACCAGTCCCTGGAAAGCACCATTCTATTCTTTGCTTCTGTGAGTTTATTTTAAATAATTCATACCAGTGAAATCATGCAGTTTTTGTCTGTGACTGGCTTATTTCACCCAGCATAATGTCCTTCACGTTCATCCATGTTATCTATTTTGCAGGATTTCCTTCTTTTTAAAAGCTGAATAATATTCCATTGTATATCTATACCACTTTTTCTTTATCCATTAATCTGTCAAAGGACATTTAGGTTTTCCCTACGTCTGGCCTGTCGTGAATATTGCTATATTGAACGAGGAAGTGCTAAGATCTTTTCAAGATCCCCATTTCAATTATTTCAGATAAATACGCAGCAGTGAGAATTTCTGGATCCTATGGTAGTTCCAGTTTTAATTTTTTGAGGAACTGCCATGCTGGCTTCCACAGTAGCTGCATTTTGCATTCCACTGACAACATTCCAGGATTCCAATTTCTCCGCCTCGATTTTATTTTATTTTGCAACACAATAAGATGTAATTCTATCTAATTTGGACCAAGTTTAGTTTTCACTCCCAGTTTTCTCTACCTGCTTGAATAATCACAGCATATCCATTTCTTTCTCAAACAACTTGGCAAATATTCTCAGAGCAGTTACAGATGCAAAGCTGATCTATAAAATTACATATAAAAATAACAAATGCTATATCATGCAGTAGTTTTAGCGTATCAGTGTTTGATCAAGAATCATTTAAAAAGACAGAAGATGAGCTGAGGCAGCGGTGGATGTCTCCTAGGGAACTCTTGAAGGGATTAGGGAAGTGTTTCTTCTCATTTCCTGTGTGATGATGTGTTTCATTTTAATTAGCAAGTTGATCAGAGATAAAGCAACAACTGAAAATATTTTCTTTGACCTAATACTCTTGGCTGCTTCATCTTTGGTATGTTTTTTGGCCTTAAAGATTCCTCAGAGGCCTGTGGAATACCAGGTGTACCAACACATGCATTACAGGGGCCCAGAAGAAGAGGAGATAAAGGGTAAGAAAATATATGTTTTGAAGTGGCCAAAAACTTCCTAGATTTGGTCAAAAACATCAACTTACGTATCCAAGAACTCATAGACATTAATTTAAAACATCAATTTACACACCCAAGAAACTCATCCATGAGCTCCAAGTAACTTACAGTTGGGTTTAAGTCTACCAGTATGTTATTTGTTTACTATCTGACCCTTCTGTTCATTTGTATTTATTTATCTTTTTGAGTTAATTGAGCTTTTTTTATTTCATTTTTATTTTCTCAATTGGTAATTTTTTTGGCTATAATTTTTTGTTTTATGATTTTAGTGGGATTAGATTTTGAACTTACCAGTTTACCTTAAATTACTATTCCACCACTTTATGTATAAACAGAGCAACATAATTCCATTTACTCACTGTTTTATATATTTCACTCCTATAGTTGTTATAGACCCTATAATATATTATATTTATTAGAATATTATTTATCATACTTGTTATATTATTATATTGTTATATTTGCTTTAAACAAAAAATTTCTGTTTTAAAAAATGATGACAAGAAGAAATAATCTTTTATATTTACCCCTATATTTACCATTCCCAGGAGTTTTCATTCCTTTCTATAGATCTAGGTTTCCATCTGATGTTGATTCTCTTTCACTTAAAAACTTATTTTAACATTTCTTATAGTGCAAATCTCCTGGTGACAATCAAATTTTATTTATCTGAAAATGCATTTTACTCTCATTTTTTAAGCATATTTTGGTGGATTAGAATTCTAGGTTGATAATTTTTATTTATTTATTTATTTATTTATTTATTTATTTATTAGCATCTTAAAGATTTGTTATTCCATTGTCTTCTGCCTGACATCAAGAAGTTAACTGTCATTCTCATTACTGTTCCCCTAAATGTGATATTTTTTTTTCTTTGGCTGCTTTTAAGATTTTCTGGTTGTATTTGACTTTCAGCAATTTAGCTACACTTAACGTTTTCTTTATGAAAAAGTATGATTTTTAGTTCACCCTGTTTGTTCTTATTTTTATTATTGTTTCTGTCCTTCACCCTCCTAACAAGAAATAGAGCACTATCTACCCTTTCCATTTTAAATATTTGTTTTTTTAGCAGCCTCACTCTCGGTTAGGAAAAAGAACTCAAGCTAAACGGAAATCATTTAACTTTAATGCTCAATGGTTATGCTTAGGAGGAGGGAGAACTGGAAGTTGGTAAAATAATTTTTCAGAGCTATTTGTACTTTTTGCTAACTACAGCTTCCACATAGTTAAAAGGTAAGTGTATATTATTCTTGAATATTTTCAAACAGATTGGTTCACAGCCATCTTGCATTTCTATTGCATACCGTGGAGCAAGACATCTTTCTACTAAAGAAACAATACGAAAATTTGAAAAATAGAAATAATTAACTGTCAGAATGTGATATGGTTTAGTAAAGTACAAATAATATGTTTGGATGTATTAAAAAATTCTCAGAATGTTTTATTATAGATATGAGAAAAGTAAAGGATTAAGCCACATGAACAGTAAGAATGCCAAGATTCTGAGAGACAGTAGAGGTGGGATTTATAAACTGCCTGTTGGGATTTTCCCAGAGAGTAGTTTAGAACTTCTTACCTGAGGCCCCACAATTATCTTTTATCTAATTTGTCAATTCAGTCAGATATTTGGTAAGTTTAGTAAAGAGAAAATTATTTTAGACACAGTTCATTTTGGTTACGTTTTAAAAATCATCTAATTCCTG